GGGGGCGCTGTGGAGCAGTTTGGCCACGCCCACTTTTGGTTCCATTATCATACTACTATTTCTCGCGGGGGACAATTTTGGGTAAAGTTTGGCTAGGTTTCAAATATGCTAACCCCTCCAAATAAGCGCTTAAACTTGGAAAAGAATAAGAAGAAGAAAAAGAAGAAGAATAATAAGAAACGACACAATTACAATAGGCCTTCGCAGCGCTTTGCTGCTCGGGCCTAATAAGAAACAGCACAATTACAATAGGCCTTCGCAGCGCTTAGCTGCTCGGGCCTAATAATAATAATAAGAAACGACACAATTACAATAGGCCTTCGCAGCGCTTTGCTGCTCGGGCCTAATAATAATAATAATAATAATAATAAACGACACAATTACAATAGGCCTTCGCAGCGCTTTGCTGCTCGGGCCTAATAATAATAAGAAACGACACAATTACAATAGGCCTTCGCAGCGCTTTGCTGCTCGGGCCTAATAAACAGCACAATTACAATAGGCCTTCGCAGCGCTTTGCTGCTCGGGCCTAATAATTTCCCTCTGGGATTAATAAAGTATTTTTGAATTGAATTGAATTGAATTGTTAAATTAATTTTGTGAACTGAATAACTATGATTTCTGTTTTTTTTTAATATCACAAAATGTATCGTTATTGTCAGAATGCTCTGAAATATCACAATATTATATTTTAGCCATATCGCCCACCCCTATACTCTATTGCTAAAGACCCTCGGGAGTGGAGAGGGAGAGCGATTAGACTATGAGTTCAGTTTGCATAAATGTATCAAGTCGCTGTAGTTTAGAAAACTTCTCAAATGAGTACTGAAGTGTATTAAAGAAAACTAGAAAGATCCTTTAGAAACTGACAGGCGCATCCATTTTACAATGTAGATGACAAAAATGCTTATGTTTTGATGCACAGTATATGTATATCTTAACAGATGTGGTGGTAGGAAGAGTTTGTTCGACAACTTACTGTGTTTTGTTCAGAGACCTCTTGTGATCCTCAGATAAAAGCTATTAAATTACTTTTTATGTGTATGAATGTCCTGAGATGACTTCTAATTGAATAGAGTTCTGTATGCGTTAGAGAAAAGTCTTTGCAAATTCCGTCGCCATGGTAAATGTCAAATAAAAGTAATAGCACGCATCATGCCGAGTCAGTTGTTTTGATATAACATTTATTGTGGGGCTACACGTTGTGGTTCTGGCTGCATTAAAGTTGACGGAAGAGCAAAACCCTTTTCAGGTGGATAATAACAGGTGGCTGCCTTCAGCCAATAAGTCCATTGGCTTGGTTGAATGTATCCTTAATTAAACTTTCATTGTCTATAGCCTGGCTCATGCTTGATGTTAATCAATACAGAACAATGTGAGTTGTTGTTATGTGATGACTGTGTTTCAGCTCCAACCTGCTCCTTGGACAGCTCCTCCTTGGTGAGGCCATTTATCAGAGTGGGCGGCCTTGCACTTGCACTTTTCTTACTTGGATCTTTCCTCTTGGGTGGCTGGAGAGAAAACAGTTTAAATACAGTGTAAAGTTAAAATATTCTTGACTGGGTGCTTCTTTAAATGCTAACAAGCCTCGTCAGGTTTGTCCGGAAGCTTCTCGCGCGCATGTTCAGAACTTTAAATTGCCTCTAGCTAGCCATTAACTTCTAGTTAGCTAACTAGCACGTTGGCGAATTAATTTTAAAATATATGTAAAAAAAAAACCCCGTTGTTTACCATTGTTTATTCCGCTCAGGGAGGCTGTGGACGTTTGAGGCGGAAAATGGACCGGTCAGAAGTAAAAACTAGTCTCGAGACCCGAGGCATTTACAAACATGTGTTTCCATGGCAACAGCCGCACAGTGGACATCCGGGTTCTTTACACCAATAATAAGATTAACTGGCTTGTTCCACAAATCTCATCTGCAGATTGTTTATTTTATTACTATACAGTCAAATGAGTATTAATCTAAATGTGTGTGTGTGTGTGTATATATATATATATATATATATATATATATATATATATATATATAT